CATTTCAGGGAAATGAGTTAGTCCTCAGTCAATCAAAAAGCTAAGCTGATTTCTGACAAAAAACAGAGCAGACATGGTGAAATGTTTGCTAACAAAATAGAAGCAATAAGGTAAATGGAGTTGTGAGGCAGTTTATGATGTAAAGAATGCACGTCAAGGCACATGAAAAGCCTATTCCAGGAATGCTGCTTAGGAAAATGGTCCTCCATCATACCAGGAGAAGCAAGGGGCACGAAGGGACTTGATGAGATTAAAGGACAAAGTCATATTCACAGTCACACTACTCAATTAGGCACTTCTAATTAAGAAGCCAAAAATTACAAGGACTGAAAATAGGTATACTAACTGAATTCAAGTCAGTGAGAAAATGGCCCAAACAATTAGCAAGCTGTTCTTATCACAAATGCTCCCCCTTCCACCTAACTCAAATAGATCCTATTTTTCACATTTAGTAAATTGGATACAATCAGAAACCTCTTATATTTGCATCAAGGCCCAAACACACACACAAACACACAGACTGTATGTATATACACAGAACACATACATGCACACAATTTCTGGTAGTCTCAGGGAGTAAAGAAGATCTACCAACCTATGTTTTATGGATAATTGAATTATAACTGAAAATTCTGTGCATTATTGAAACCATCCTTTTACACCCTTATTCTACAGCAATGGCACTAGGACTGAGGTAAACATTTTGAACGTTGAAAGGTTTACTGTGACAATGATGAATTCTGACTTATTTTACCCAATAGGTATGTCATAGGACCATCTGTAAAAAAGCATAGATTGGCAGATATGAGCACAACTTGACATTAACTTAGGGGACTGTCTGAAGGATGTGTTCTCAGCCATACGAGGAGGCTGGAAAATTCTCTAAGACTCTTTCCTGTTTGAAAATGACATAGTTCTTATGCACAAAGAGCTGTAAAACTGTGCATACCCTTTGACCCAGCAATACCACTACTAGGTCTACATCCAAAGAGATCATAAAAATGGGAAGAAGACCCACATGTACAAAAATATTCATAGCAGTTCTTTTTGCGGTGGCAAAGAACTGGAAATTGAGGGGATGCCCATCAATGGGGGAATGGCTGAACAAGTTGTGGTATATGAATGTAATGGAATACGACTGTGCTATAAGAAATGATGAGCAAGCAGACTTCAGAAAAACCTGAAAGGACTTGTGTGCACTGATGCTAAGTGAAGTGAACAGAACCAGGAGAACACTGTACATGGTAACAGCCGCATTGTGCAATGATCAACTATGATAGATTTAGATCTTCTCAGCAATACAATGATCCAAGACAATTCCAAAAGACTCGTGCTGGAAAATGCTATCCACATACAGAGAAAGAACTATAGAGTCTGAATGCAGATCAAAGTATACTATTTTCTCTCCTTTTTTGTTTTCTCTTTCTCATGGTTTTTCCCTTTGTTCTGATTCTTTTTTCACAACACAACTAATGTGGAAATATGATTAATATGATTGTACATGAATAACCTATATGAGATTGCTTGCTGTCTTGGGGAGGGGGGAGGGGAGGGAGAGGGAAAAATTTTGGAACTCAAAATCTTATAAAAGTGAATGTTGAAAATGATTTTACATGTAATTAAAAATGCTATTAAGTGGAGGAAAAAGAAAACGACATAGTTCTAAGGCTCAGAGATTTGTTGCATGGAGAGTTCTTCAGCCCTTGAGCAGATAAGACATTTGTCTTCCAGATGACAGTGCATCATGATGGGCTACGGTACCCATATACGGCACCTAACTAATTACCAACATGAATAGGTCTCCAGTAGTCTATATTCTTACAGTAAATAAAGTCTCCTTGAGGCATAATGGTGCCTGGACTTGCCTAATTTAACTAGTCAAAGACTCAAGATAAAATGACCCATTGGGGCAAATGGCTTAGGAAGCCAGCAGAAAGTATACTGCATTTGGAGTGCCCTGGGTTCAAATTTGGCCTGACCACTCACTACCTGAGATCATTTCATCTCTCTGGGCCTTAGTTTCCTTTTCTCTAAATGAGGGGATTGAAGCAGGTGGTCTCTCAAGACCCTTCCATTTCTAAACCTATGATTCAGAGAAAACTGCAACAAGTGACAGAATCACAGCCTTAATTTTAAGACAGGTTCAAGTACTATAAATCTGTCAAATTCTGCACCTAATAAATCACCACTAAGTAGGTGTCCAAACCATTCAATGTAGACAGACAGACAAGAAGCTGGCTTACTTGGGTACTTATTTCTTCTCCTGCTAGCTGCCCAGGGGTTTTTCAAGGTAAGAATACATTTTTGGAGGGTGGGCGTAGTTGTACCAGCCTGATTCAATAATTTCTACTTTAGCAAACAATTCACTCAACTCAATACACCAACTATTTCTGTGTAATAAATTGCTGCATGTTTTGTTTCGTCTTTTTTGATTATGCCATGCGAACTAACAGTCCCATACATTTTAATACAGTTTCCAATCCCCTTGTGGACAAACAGTCACACTTTAGTGCCACTTAAATGAAGACTAACCATTCATCTGTAACTTGCAGATACAGAAGGCACTGGATTTTCATTTTTAAATGCCTTAATTACCTGCATATAAAGTGAGAAATAAAATAAGCAGCCCAGGCCAAGTTCATAGGGGTTTGAAATTACTTTTCTTTTACTAAATGAGCAACAAGAGCTTCTCAGTATTGCAAGCTGTTGTGTGGCTATAGGCCAACTGTATAAAAATGTTAACAGAATGAGGGGATCAGAATTCAAAGACATGAAGAAAGCAACAGAATCAAAAAGAGGACAAAGTAGGAACTGTTGGCTACCATCGAACAATGCCATCAATGAAAGAGGATTGAATCAGTCATCAAACAAATATGAACTTCATAATGGATGGGCATCCTATGACAAAGGGGCACTCAAAACTGGCAATTCCCATAATTTATAAAATATCCCATGCCGTATTTGCCTTTCACTTTCCTGAAAAAGCCATCAAAATTACCTGCTAATACTTAGCATTCCTTAAAACATACTGGGCATATAAATAGTAACTCACCAACTTAAGTCACTAAATGAGAAACAAAAACAGAAGTAACTTCCCTACATTCTCCAGTCATCATTAGTCTGTCACTCTGTAGTAATTGCAGCTCAGTATCACTGATCTCAGGTTGAAAAAAAAAGAGGGAGGGGGGAGATTTGATGCAGAGAAAGGAGCAACAGCTTTAACCTTGAAAGAAGGTGACTGCCATGAACTTCTTAAAATAATTTACTTATTATCAGATAAAGAATATGGAGTATTTATTCCCTCTAGAAATAAAAAACGGTGAAATCAATCTGCAATAAAGGATATTTATTCATACCCAAAGGAGCAGGATATGGTTTTATCATTTTTGCAAACCAGGCCAGAAGAAAGGCTGGGAAGAAGGGGTGAGAGTGAGAAGGAAGCAGTTCTAAGACTTCGGCTTTTCTACAGAAGCCAGACTTTATAACATAAAGAACCTCTTGCTGAACAAATGCAATTTCTCAAGTTCTGCTTTTGTTTTCTATATATCTATACTGATCTCCAAATGACCATGCAATACTATTAAGATGTAAGCAAGCACACACACACACGTGTGTGTGTGTGTGTGTGTGTGTGTGTGTGTGTGTATGTATGTATATATAAATTTTCAGTCTGATGACCAATCTTACAGAACTGCATGTATACACAGAGACACACAGAAATCCATGGCTCTCTCAGGATACCCCATACACATAGATTATTTGCTAAATCTTGCTGTTTTTACCTTTCAACATCTCCTGCATCTGACCACTTCTCTCCACTCACATGGCTACCACTTTAGTTCACGCTCTCATCATCTCTCACCTAGATTATTGCAACAGTCTCCTAATTGGTCTTCTGGTCTCATCTCTCCCCATTCGGGTTTCTCTACACACCATGACCAAAGTAATTTTCTTTCTTTTTTCTTTTTTTCTTTTTGTTTTTTAGGCAATTGGAGTTAAGTGACTTGGCCGGGGTTACACAGCTAGTAAGTGTCAAGTATTTGGTCTGACCTCGGATTTGAACTCAGGTCCTCCTGACTTCAGGGATGGTTCTCTATCCACTGTGCCACCTAGCTACCCTCAAAGTAATTTTCCTTAAGCATAGACCTGCTCATGTGACTCCCCCACTCAATCAGCTCCAGTGGCTTCTTACTGCCTCTAGGACAAAATATTAACTCCTCCATTTAGCTTTTAAGGCCCTTCACCACCTGGCCCCCAAGCAACCTTTCCAAGCTCGTTTGAGATTACTGCCCCTCCTACATTGTGTGATCCTGGTCTTCTCTCTTTCCCTCCCACAGAATACTCTATCTCCCAGCTTTTGCATTCCCAGTGCCTGGAATGCACTCCCTCCTTAGCCCCACCTCACAGGGCCCCTTTCTTCTTTTATGAAACAGCACAGACACCATCTTGTGCAGGAAAACTTTCCTGATTTCCTCCAGCTGCTTGTGCTTGCCCTTTCAAATTGCTTTAAATTTAACGAGGTTGTATATATTTGTATGTACCGCTTTCTTTTCACACTGTAGATATTTTTAAAGGCACTTGCTGTCTCTTCCACATGAACAGAAGTTCAATGGGAGTAGAGATTGTTTCAGTCTTTACACTTGTATCCCAAGGGCCCATCACAGGTGTTTAATCAATACTTGTTGATTGAAACCTCTCAATACATACCTTTTAGGTTTCTAACAGTGTCATTATTACGCTCTTCTTTCAGTATACAACTTCAGTAGAACTTTCCACCTAAAAAAATAGACTGAGGACCACAGAAAAGTGCTCGAGACAAGGCAAACTGGCAGCACTGTCACCCTATGAATGACTCAAACCCTTCAATAAAAACACTAAAAAGGCCATTTCTGCTACTACTAAAAATCAGGGTGAAAACAAAAGCATGAAGACACTTGAATAAACCCATAAAGTCTAGAGCTGACCCCATTCCTCCTCCCACCAAGATAAAGAAAGGATATGGTCATCTTTTCCACAAACTTGTCGTGTTTGTCTTCTGTCTTAGTAAATTTGGTAATGTCACTTTCCAGGCGAGCAATCTGTTGTTCCATGGTCTCAAGGTTGCTCTTGAGAGTCTGAGCTGAAACTGCAGAAGAAGATACAGAGTTACAAGCACATTCCCATCAGCTGTTCAACTATGATGACAACCAGGACAACCCAAGGAAAATCAACTGGCCTTTTTAAAAAAGGTAGACAAGAGTCCCATTAAACAGTCATTTTTCTGCATCACTCCTCATAACAGTTCTACTCTTCATGAAATAAGTAAAAAATGTATAATATACTATACCTAATCATCATGTTTAATGGGAGAATGTTACCTTTTTATTCAGCCATTAGTCCAAATGAATTCATTTCTATTTAAATTTATTGATGGGAATTCTAATATTTTATTCTTTAAAATCTAATTTGAAGATTAAAGAGAAACTACAGTTCAAACAGATCTTATTAACGCATGTACTTGGCTATATAAATGATTTAATGTTCAATCATATCAAATATCAAATATTTTTCTTTTATTGAAAACCAAAAGCTTTCAAAGTTTCTTTTTTAGTATCTTCAAAACCTGCAAATATTGAATAAATGGGCTGCCTTGATGCAGAGAGAACTTGCAGTAACCCTCAGTAAGATAGTCTCACATACACACACATACACACACACACACACACACACACAGGCACACATGCACACACACACAGATTTGGTACAACCTCAAACACAATAATTAATTTCTTTTAATTATTGCTAACATGATTTAGCACTTTTCTTCTTTTCTTTGAAAATGAAACATTTCAAGACCTGCATTCAAACTGCAGCAAAAGACCCCATTTTCCAGCTTTCCTGAGAAGGTTTCCCCTTAATAAGTACTCTCTCCAAACCACCTGTTCTTACCACATGACTACCAGTTATGTGTCAATTTCAGCATTTGGGAGTTTCCACTAACTGGACAGGGTGAGTGGCATAAAGGGTGGGCAATATGGCCTCTAAATCAAGACTCGGAGAGACTGTCATGCTAAGAAAAAGAAAGCAAAGCAGAAAAACATTATAATGCTTTCTTTTACTTAAGGAGAAATGTTTGGCTTATTCTGAGACACATACAAGCATCAGAATGGAAAATTCGAGAGGCCGTCAGCCACCACCCCTCTCCCCACCTCCTCCAACACACACATCCTACTACTGCAACCAACTCTTTGGATATGAATTCCTCACTCTGACACGAACACCTTCATAACTCGGGGGAGAAATCGCCTGAAATAGACATGGAAGTTCAAGACACTGAAAATCAAACACCAACACCAAAGACAAATTATTTTTTGTATTAATCTGTCAGTTCCAATAGCGGCATCTGATTTAGTTTCATTTGCACAGATCTGACAAGCTTGGAAATGATTCTGTATTGGAGAAGTCTGAGGGAGTTTTGTCTTGTCAAAGCATTCCTAATGGCTCAGCAATCATTGCTGGCTTTATTTAAAAGATGAGTTTGGTAGGGAGGAAAACAAACTCTCTGACTTCAAAATTAAATCAGTTTCTTTCAGTCAGGTGTTCTGTGCATTGAGCTAATTATTCAAGGGGTCCATTCTTCTCAGCTGCTTGACTGCAGACTGAAGAAATTGAATGGTTACTTATGTCACTTGGGTCACAGGGAAGACATCACCACATCAGACAATTCTATAGTATACAAAGTGTGCCTAAAACTGGCTTAGGCCTTGGGCTGGATAAGAACATGGGATGCTATAAAAGGACTGAGGATTTCACCCACTGCTTGCTTAATAGTGAGATGCACTCAGAAATACAAATATCTTCAACAGCAATAAAGAGAGGTTTGAAAAAATCAGCCAAGTGACTTTCAACCTTCCTAAAGTTAAAGTAGAAATTACATCTTTCCTACATACATATACATATATATGTATATATGTGTGTGTGTATATGGAGAGAGAGAGAGAGAGAGAGAGAGAGAGAGAGAGAGAGATGCATTCACAGAAGTGAATTTTTGTGCACATAAGCTCCCAATTCCGAAGCACTGTATTTTCTGAGTCCTTAATCTGAGCCTGCCCTCTGAGACTATCTTTGATTTCTCCTTTATATATTTGGTTTGTTCATGATTGTCTGAATGTTGTTTTCCCCATTAGACTGTGAGCTCCCAGAGAACCTGCACTGTATTTTGTCTTTCTTTGTAACCCCAGTCGTAGAACAGTGCAGGGGATTTAATAAAACTTTAATAAATGTTGATCGACACTGTGATTCTTCTCTAGTCAGAAGGCCCCTTTCTCAGCCTCCTTTGTTGGGATCATCACTATAATCCCACCTCCTCACACCATGGCCGACACCGGGGCTCAGTCCTCTGGTCTCAATAATCTCCCAACTGGTGGGGGTGGGGGAAGGAAAGAGACAGGGAAGAGAATGTATAGCCCCTACTATGTGCCAGGCAGACACTGCGCTAAGCTTCCTCCTCAGCTCCTATGGATTCAATTACCTCGATGTAGATAACTCCCAGATCCATAAATCCAGCCTAGTCTGTCTTCTAAACTTCAGTCCAGTATTTGAAACTGGATATCCCACATTTCAAATTCAACATGTACCAAACAGAACTCATTCTTTCTCCCCAAACCCAAATTTCCATATGAGAGGAGAGGGCTCCGCTATCCCCTCAGTGACCCAGTGCCACAGTCTTGGTGAAATGCCCCTACTATTCCTCACTCACTCTCACCCAACATAGCCAAGTAGTTGCCAAATCTTGTCATTCCAAGCTCTACAATCTCTCTCCCAACCACGTCCTTCTCTTCACTCCCACACTCACTGCCCTACCACTGCCCGCCACCCTCCTTAATTGAGCCCCATATCATGTCTTGCTTAGACTACTCTAAAAGCCACCAGAATGATCTCCCTGCCTCCAGTCTCTCCTCACTCCAATCCATCATCCCCACAGATCTCAAAGGGATTTCCTTAAGCATTGGACTTTGAAACTTTCTAAATCAATAAACTCCAATGGCTTTCTCCTGCCTCTAGGATCAATGTAACTATTGGCAGCTAGGTGGCTTAGTGCATGGCATACTAGACAGGGCATCAGGAAAAGCTGAGTTCAAATTCTGCCTCACATTAGCTGTGTGACCCAAAGCAAGTCACTTAACTTCTCTCAGACTCATTTTCCTCATCTGTAAACTAGGATAATAATAGCATCAATTTCATAGGGTTGTAAAGAGCATATGAATTAACACATGTAAAGTACTTTGTAAATTGTAAAAAGCTATAAAAATGCTACCTATAATCATCATAACTCAACTTCCTTGGTCATTTCAAGTCCTTCACAACCTGGTCCCAACCTAACCCTGAAGCCTCAATACCCAGAAATTCCCTGCCCATACTCTCTAGTACAGCCAGAGTGGCCTTCGTACTGCTCCTCATACGCAGCCCTCCATTGCCCAGCCATACATTCCCACGCATCAGGTATACCCCACACTTGGAATGGACTTGCACCTTACTTTTTGCCTCTTAGAATCTCATCCTTTCAAAGAGTTGATGCCAGCCCCTCTACACAAAGCCTTTGGTGATTGCCTCAGTTGTTGGCACCTTTCCCACAAAATCAGCCCGCCTGGATTTATTTGGTACACACTTATCTACATACCTGATGGTTTCCTCAACACCATGCCCACTTTTTAAGGACATCTTCATTCCTTAGCCCAGTGACTAGCACCAAAGGGCACTGAAGATATGCTTGTTGACTGACTGACTGAAACAGTTAGCCTATCATTATCCCATTTTGCAGAAGAGGAGACTGAAGTGAAAGGTAAGAGCTAGTATTTAGATAGTGCTTTCAAGGCTGCAAAATGTTTTAAATACATCAACTCATCTAAACAACCATATGACAGCCTGTGAGATCACTACTAAGGAGATTGGCCCTATTTTACGGACAGGGAACCAGGTTACTAGGCACCGCACTCCAGCTCACAGCATGACTGAATACTGGAGGGGAGATTCAAACGAAAGCTTCCCTGACTCCCAGTTTAGCCCTGAATTCACTATACCATGCTGAGTTCTGAAAGCTACCTTTTACGGCTGGGAGAAATCTGTCTAGCAATTTTACAAGGGAGAAAGGCAAAGCAGCAGAGGAGCTTTTCATTATCATGATATGCAGCATGGCGAAATGGAGAGAGAAGCAGACTTGGAATGAAGAGGCCTAGGTCGAACCCACTTCTGACACTGATTATCTGGGTGATTTGGGTGCAAGTCTCTTAACCAAACAAAGTTTCAGTACCCTCATATGTAAAAAGGAGATCAGATCATTGGCACTCCTTAACACAAAGGTTTGGTCTAAGGATGGTGCTTTGCAAACCATAAAGAGCTAGAACAGGTAAATCTTTTAATAAGTTTTTAAGCCTAGGTTGATGGAAAAGTAGGAAAATGCACAAAAACTGTTAAGGTTCAAAAGCCTCTCTTTGCCACCCTCCCATTTTTCTCCCATTTTATGGAAAATTCCCTCTCCAAAGTCCTATTTCATCAACTCTCTGCAGCATGGAAGCTCTGACACATTCTACATTGCTGGAAAAGGCTTTGACTAAGGTTCTGATAGCAGACCGCATCTGCTTTCCAAGGACCAGCCAAGGCTGCTGGGGCCGGGCCACTTGGTGAATTCTTTGGTCATAAAATCAACGGAACAAAGACACATACAAAATGGCCTCTAGTCTCATGTGCCGCTGCCCCCCTCTCCACTTCTGCAGTGACAGTGATGAGCTGGCAGAAAAGAGGGCACACAGTGCTAAGAATTACACAGTGTTTAGATCATCTATGATTTAACTGTGGATACTCTAAATGCTAAAGCCCTGTGTAATGCCCAACAAGAAGCCATATTAGAGGAGTATAATTAAATTATTCTTTATATCCTCACTATAAACCAGAAGAAGGAAGTTGCAACTAAACAGAAGGATAGTTCATAGGTACTCCTTGGAGAGGTAAAGAAAGGAGTTGGTTTTATTATACACCCCCAGTTAATAAGAAGCATTATTTCATGGGACATTTGGGCATCTTATATTGCAATAGGCTTACAGCTGAAAAAAGACCTCCAGGGTCATTAAGTGTAATTATTTCTAGGTA